AAAAAAAAAAAAAAAAAAAAAAAAGTCTGGGCACAGTGGCACATGGCTGTAATCCTAGCACTAGCACTTTGGGAGGCCGAGGTGGGTGGATCACCTGAGGCCAGGAGCTCAAGACCATTCCGACCCAGTCTCTACTAACAATACAAAAATTAGCCGGGTGTGGTGGCGGGCACCTGTAATCCCAGCTACTCGGGAGGCTGAAACACAAGAATCATTGGAACCTGGGAGGCAGAGTTTGCAGTGAGCCTAGATCGCGCCATTGCACTCCAGCCTGGGTGACAGAATGAGACCCTGTCTCAGAAAAAAAGGGAAATGACCCAAATGCCCACGAACAAGGGGAGGCTCAATTAGGGCACGTTGTGCACGGAAACACTAAACAGACATTAAAACATTTTGTTGTAGAAAATGACAGGAAAAGATATCCATGACACAGCCAGCAGTGCGGCACGGGGGCTACAATTCCAGCGTGGCCTTCAGTTCTGCACACGTGCGTCAAAGGTGGGGAGAGTTCTGGAGGTGGGTGGCGCTGAGGGCTGCACAACACTGGGGACGTACCTAATGCCCTGAACTAGGTACTAAAACCTGACTACCATGGTAAATTCTATCTTACATATGATTTCTCATAATTTTTTTTAAATGCCCAGGCCGGGCGCGGTAGTTCATGCCTGTTATCCCAGCACTTTCAAAGGCTGAAGGTGGGTGGATCTCGAGGTCCAGAGTTTCAGACCAGCCTGGCCATGGTGAAACTCCATCTCTACTAAAAATACAAAATTTAGCCGGGCACAGTGTTACATACCTGTAATCCCAGCTACTTGGGAGGCTGAGGCAGGAGATTAACTTGAACTCAGGAAGCAGAGGTTGCAGTGAACCAAGATCACGCCAGTGCACTCCAGCCTGGGCAACAGAGCGAGACTCTGTCTCAAAAAAATTTTTTGAATTAAAAATGCCCAACTACTCAGGAGGCTGAGATGGAAGGATTGCTTGAGCCCAGGAGTTTAAGTTCAACCAGGGCAACATAGCAAGACCCGATGTCTAAGAAAATTTAAAAAATAACTTTCAGTACAAATATTAGTTGGTTGTGGTGGTGGGCACCTGTAATTCCAGCTACTTGGGATACTGAGACAGGAGAACCACTTGAACCTGGGAGGTGGAGATTGCAGTGAGCCGATCATACCACTGTACTCCAACCTGGGTGACAAGAGCGAAACTCCATCTCAAAAAAATAAAAATAATGTTTAAAAAAATGTTTAAAATATCTTAAAAACGCTGGGAGCAGTGGCTCATGCCTGTAATCTCAGCACTTTGAGAGGCTGAGGCAGGTGAACCACGAGGTCAAGATATCGAGACCATCCTGGCCAAACATGGTCAAACCCCGTCTCTACTAAAAATACAAAAATTAGCTGGGCGTGGTGGCGCACGCCTGTAGTCCCAGCTACTCGGAAAGCTGAGGCAGGAGTATTACATGAACTCAGGAGGTGGAGGTTGCAATGAGCCAGGATCACGCTACTGCACTCCAGCCTGGCAGCAGATCAAGACTATGTCTCTCAAAAAAAAAATAAAAATTCATGAAGAAATAGATGGAGGTCAGGCACGGTGGCTCACACCTGTAATCCTAGCACTTTGGGGAGGCTAAGATGGGAGTATCGCTTGAGACCAGGAGTTCAAGACCAGCCTGGGCAACATAATGAGATTCAGTAGCTACAAAAAAATTTTTTTAATTAGCTGGGTGTGGTGACATGTGCCTGTAGGCCCAGCTACTTAGGAGGCTGAGGTGGAAGGATCTCTTGAGCCCTGGGAGTTCAAGGCTTCAGTGAGCTATGATGGTGCCACTGCACTCCAGCCTGGACCACAGAGCTAGACCCTGTCTCTAAAAATAAATAATTAAAAGAAATAGATAGGGAGAGTGTGGAACAGACGTGTCAGTAACATCACCTCTGGGTGAAGGGATTTCAGGATCACATTCTTCTCTGTACAGAGAAGATATGTCTTTTTTTGGTCAAGAAATTCAACTGTTAGTTTTTTAAGGACAAGCTTGGGTGGGGTGCCTGCTGGGGGCAGTGCTGGTCCTTCACTGCAGCCCAGGGACCCTGCGAGAGTCCCAGTATGTGTTACGCCCCGAGCCAGCCACGCTGGAGGGAGAGCGGGTGCAGGGGCCCTCCTCCGTGTCCCAGCCCGGCCCCTGGGATTGCGTCGCGCCCTCTGCTTGTCGACCTGGGTGCTGGCTGTCCTATTTTACTACTATTGACCCTGAAGGCCATCGAGGAGGGCACGCTGGAGGAGATCGAAGAGGAGGTCCGGCAGAAGAAATCGTCACGGAAGCGCAAGCGAGACAGTGACGCCGGCTCCTCCACCCCGACCACCAGCACCCGCAGCCGTGACAAGGACGATGAGAGCAAGAAGCAGAAGAAGCGCGGGCGGCCTCCCGCTGAGAAGCTCTCCCCAAATCCACCCAACCTCACCAAGAAGATGAAGAAGATCGTGGATGCCGTGATCAAGTACAAGGACAGGTAGGCGAGGAGACAGGGCGGGTGGGGACCACGGGGGTCCTTGTGGGAGCAGACCTGGTCTCTGCACTGTGACCCTGCACACTCAGGCTGGGGGCTGCTCACTCACTCATTCACAAACACTGGCTGAATCTTTGTGTCTTTGAGCCTGGCCCTGAGGAGCATACTTTCTGGAACGGAAGGACACGTGTATTATCCATGTTGAGAGGGAACGTCTCACGGGGTCGGGAGGAGAGGCAGGGGTGCGCGTCTCAGGGAATGGGACATTGGAGCAGAGCCTTGAGAGACGGGAGGTTGGGGAGAGTCCACCAGCAGAGGCCACAGCAGGCAGAGAGGCTCTGCCAAAGCTGAGGCCTAGTGGCCTCAAGGGGCGAGGTGGGATGAGGGGATCCATGGCAGCATGGCTCTGCCAAAGCTGAGGCCTGGTGGCCTCAAGGGGTGAGGCGACATGAGGGGATCCATGCTGCCTGTGCAGCCAGGGGGACAGGGACAAGAGTCTGGCGTGTCTAGAGCAGAGAAAGTGGCAGCCCTCTCCTGTCCTTGCACCCTTCCGGGATACCCGTGCCATCTCTGTGTTGCTGAGATGGTGGCCACACTCCTGCCCTCTGCTAGGCCCTGCTCTGGGCCTGGAGGTCCCTGTCCTCACGGACATGTCCTGTATCCGAGGTAGCATGCAGTTCCAGCTGTGGCCGCGGCCCAGTGGTGGATCATAACGTAGTGGTGGATCATGAGTGCTGCTTATATATTTTCTGTGAGCCACTGTATATGAGTGCCATTTAAGAAGAAAGGAATGGTTCTGAGTCACTCCCCAGGGAGACGTGTGCGCCTTCTAGCAGCCCAGGGCAGGTCATAGAGCTGTGCAGGAGCCAGTGAGGGGTGTGAGGCCCATGCCTGGCCTAGGACTGGCGCCGTCTTCCACTCCCCAAGGTCTTATTCCACTTCCTGGTACACATTGGCCAGTACCACTGGCTCCGTAATGGGAGGGTTGTACTACTGGATTTTAAAGTAACAGTTTGCTGCTAGTCATGAAGCAGAGCGTGGGGGAATTGTATCTGTGAGAGGGGAAAGTGGCAGGAGCCCACATGTATCCTTTGGAGAGAATCTTACCAAGTATGAAATTTTAGAGGATGGTAACAATTGTAGTGCCTAAATTAATGGGTAAAAATTACCACATAAAGTCAGGTGTGGTGGCGTAATCCCAGCATTTTGGGAGGCTGAGGCAGGAGGATCGCTTGAGGTCAGGAGTTCGAGACTAGTCTGGGCAACATGGTGAAAACCCATCTTTACTAAAAATGCAAAAAAAAAAATATCTGGGCGTGGTGGTGCGTGCCCATAATCCCAGCTACTTGAGACTGAAGCAGGAGAATCACTTGAACCCAGGAAGGGGAGGTTGCTGGGAGCCAAGATCACACCACTGTCTCCAGCCTGGATGACAAGAGCAAGACTCCGGATCTAAAAACAAAAAAAAAGTACTGCTTAAAAAGGTTTTATTATTATTGCAGGAGAAACAGATGATGAATGAAAGGAGACATATTCAAGTTCAGTGTTAGATTTGAAAATGTCATGTGTTGTCAGTATTAAGAAAAAATACTGACTCGGATTTACAAACCTAACCCTGAGGCTAAGTCCTCAAAGAGGAAAGCAAGTGGAGGACTTCATTTACTTAAAGTGCAGGATACAGCTGGGGGCAGTCACTCATGCCTGTGGTCCCTGCCACTTGGGAGGCTTAGGTGGGAGGAACACTTGAGCATAGCAGGTCCAGGCTATAGTGAGCCGTGATCACACAGCTGCACTCCAGCCTGGGTGACAGAGTGAGACCTTGTCTCTTAAAAAATACAGAATACTTACTTACAACGCGGAGCAGGCATGGTGGCTGTTGCTTGTAATCCCAGCACTTTGGGAGGCTGAGGTGGGCGGATCACTTGAGGTCAGGAGTTTGAGACCAGCCTGGCCAGCATGGTAAAACCCCATCTTTACAAAATATACAAAAAAAGAAATTAACCAGATGTGGCGATGTGGGCTTGTGGACCCAGCTACTCGGGAGGCTGAGGCATGAGAATTGCTTGAATCCAGAAGGCAGAGGGTACAGTGAGCCAAGATGGCACCACTGCACTGCATCCTGGGTGACCGATTGAGATTCCATCTCACACACACACACAAATCGGAATTTGCAAAAATCTAATGATGGTGACAGACCTTCCCCATGTTTTATTTCTAATGATATTCTTGCACAGGAAACTTAACATTATCAACATAAAGGAGATCCTTGAAGTGGGGAAAGCATGGACATCTCTATCATGCTGGTCTCCTAGGTATCCACATAGAGAGGATGAGCCCTGACACCCCCCCCCCAACACACACACACACACACACACACACACACACACACACCCCTTGCACTTCGATTCACATTACATGGACTGTGGATGTAAGAACATGAAAGGCAAAACAAAGTTCTCGAAGAAAGCACAGGAGAAAATCTTCATGAGTGAGCATCGATTTCTTCCACAGGAGCCAAAAGCCAGTAACCACAAAGAACTGAGAAATTAGATTTCACTAAAATTAATTACATCTATTTATTAATGGGCACGCTAATAGAGACCGTGAAAACTACTCATAGATTCGGAAAAGACAACGCAGTTTTTTGTTGTTGTTTTTTTTTGGAGTCGGAGTTTCGCTCTTGTTACCCAGGCTGGAGTGCAATGGCGCGATCTCGGCTCACCGCAACCTCCGTCTCCTGGGTTCAGGCAATTCTCCTGCCTCAGCCTCCTGAGTAGCTGGGATTACAGGCACGCGCCACCATGCCCAGCTAATTTTTTGTATTTTTAGTAGAGACGGGGTTTCACCATTTTGACCAGGACGGTCTCGATCTCTTGACCTCATGATCCACCCGCCTCGGCCTCCCAAAGTGCTGGGATTACAGGCGTGAGCCACCGCGCCCGGCGACAACGCAGTTTAAAGCTGGGCAAGAGGCAGGGCCAGGGCCCCAAATAGCTGTGAAAACAGACATAGTACTGCTACCTGGAAGAAGCTTACATTTTGTTGAACGAAAGAAGCCGGATGCTAAAGAGGACCTACTGTGTGCCTGCAGTTCTGTAAGGGTCAGAAGCTGATCCACAGTGATGGCTGCTGAATGGTGCTTACCTTGAGGGGGTAGTTAGCAGGAAGCCATACGCCAGGCCTTCCAGGATATTGGGGATATTATTTCTATAGATCTGGAGATGTACATGATGTATGCATTCACCGAGGTGTGCACCTGCGACACGTATACTTTATTGCATTACACCTTAGTGTTTTTTTTGGGGGGGGGGGATTTTTTATTTTCTGGCCTTATTAATACACCTTGGTTTTTAAAGAGACAGAGAAAGCATGCTCAACTTATTAAGACTCTGAATATTTTCAGAGAAAAAAATATGTCCAGCGTTAATCCATTTGTTTTTAGTTGAGACTCACATAAGAAGCCCTCTTAGGGTCATAGTTGTTTATCATCTGACAAAGGAGGAAATGGCTCACCCAGGATGAATGACGCAATAAATTAAAACTTTCAGCCAAACACTGGCTCACGCCTATAATCCCAGCACTTTAGAAGGCCAAAGTGGGTGGATCTCTTGAGTCCAGGAGTTCAAGACCAGCCTGGGCAGTGTGGCGAAACACCATACTGCTTGATTTTAAATTAACAGTTTGCTGTTAGTCATGAAGCAATCTAACAGAAATTAGGCTAATTAATACAAAATTTAGCCATGCATGGTGGCGTGTGCCCATAGTCACTGCTACATGGGAAGCTTAGGTGGGAGGATCACCTGAGCTCAGGAAGTCGAGGCTGCAGTGCACCTTGATCATGCCACTGTATTCCAGCCTGGGCAACTGGAGTGACACCCTGTCTCAAAAAAAAGCAAAACAGCCAGGCTCGGTGGCTCAAGCCTGTAATCCCAGCACTTTGGGAGGCCGAGGCGGGTGGATCACGAGGTCAAGAGATCGAGACCATCCTGCTCAACATGGTGAAACCCCGTCTCTACTAAAAATACAAAACATTAGCTGGGCATGGTGGCGCGTGCCTGTAATCCCAGCTACTCAGGAGGCTGAGGCAGGAGAATTGCCTGAACCCAGGAG